CTAAAAGTGGTCTGGGGAGAGTAGCTGTTTACCTCATAATACAATTTGCAATTGGCTGACCTTAGAACAAGTTCCACTTCTTTCCCTGGGTGCTCGCCCATGACCCGGATGAGCAAGCTCCCCTTTTGATCTCGCTGACAGTGCCACTGTCTTAGGCCTCTAGTCCCCCTCCTCAGCTTTGCACAGCAAAAGCCAACTTCTACATATTAGACCTTCTAGCTCATTCTCCTGCCAGAGTCCTCTGGCACAGGGAGCAGAGAGTAGCAGATTTATTTATCTTCCAACAGGAACTATGCTACACAGCAGAAGAGAGGCTTTGGTGGTGTGGTCAGTTTGGGTTTATCTATGGGAGGGTACTTTGCAAAGTTTATAAAGATGTAGAATTAAAGCATAAGTTTATTTTAGTCCAAAAACTTTTTGAAATACATGCATAGTTTTAAAGTTTATTTATTTGAGGGACAAGGAGAGAGAGTGAGCGAACGAGCAAGAGACCTCCCATCTGCTGGTCCAAATACCTGCAACAGCTGGAGCTGGGCCAGGCTGAAGCAGAGAGCAGAGAGCTCATTCCAAGTCTCCCTTGAGGGTGGCAGAGACCCAGCTACTTGGCCATCACCTGCCTTTTAGGTACATCTGCGGGGAGCCGGGATTCAATCCGAGGCACTATGTATGTGATACAGGCACTGCAAGTGATTTAACTGCTATGCCAAATACCCACCCCCATAGTTGGATTATTTTTAATATATGCATTTCCATAAAACTTTGGAAGACCCCTTGTATGCATAGGTTTCAAGTTTTGCATCACAATAACAATTATCTTGCATTTTCCATGAACTTTGTGAAGCCCTGTTATGTATGTATCAGAATATGTGTGTATGTATACATGTGTGTGTAAATACATATATAACCCCCCACACTGGAACATATCTCACTGTAAGTGTTCTTCTGCTCTTTGTGTTAACCCATCAACACTCATATAACCGGAGTCTCAAGTCTCAAGCAGGGTTGCTTAGTCTTGGTAGCAGTTCAGACAGTTCTCTGTTGTGAGTGTGTCCTGGGCACTGCAGGAGGTTTGGTGGCACCCCGTCTACCCAGGAGAGTCCATAGTTTTCCCCTCCTGTGACGATGCGACATGTCTGCACATATCATCACACGTCCCCTGGGAGAGGGGGTTAGGGTTGGGGTGGGGGACCACGAGCAGCTGAAAGCCTCTGGTCTGAGCGGGATCCTGCCTACATAGTGCAAGCCCATGACGTCTTATTCTACCCTGGAGTTTAATTGTGGAGTGTGTTAAGGTCAGGGGGATGGATTTATCCATTGAGGAGAAAGACACAGAAGTGCCCGCAGCCTCAGCACCACGCTGGCTTTCCAGGAGCAGTCTGCACCATCATGTTCTTGCGTTTCCGCCAGGCCTCCATGCTCAGCGCATCTGCATCTGAGCCAGGGCCATCAGCTCTGGTCCCAGGTCCCTCCCTCCCCAGGCAACCGGAAACCTCACTAGAACCAGGGAATGGCCTTTAGTTTTTGGCTTATAAATACTCATTGGATCATTTCTCTTACTGAGAATTTTTTTTAAATCATGTTTAGCATTCTTGTTGCCGTAGTGGAAACTTTTGTTCTTTGGAGAGCTTCCCATTCTAGGCTCAGGTCAGATTCCTCAGTGGAACTCTGAACATTTTAGGCAAGTTTTGCCAGAGAGGTTGCACCTTGGATGAGTTTACACAACTGTGGTCAGATCCTGGGTTAAGACTCCCAGCATCCCAAGATAGACAGTGGGGAAAGCTACGCAGCTGGACAAAGGGCACGCACCCAGTCCTCTCAAGGGAGGCTGGGATCAAACCCTTGTATGGTTCCAGTAATTTTCCAGATTTCTCTCCTCACACCCTAGCATCTGGTGTGTAAGAGGACCAGCCGGCGCCGCAGCCAGCAGAAATCCAATCACTCTTGGTAACACACCCTCCCCAAAGGCCAGGTACCGGAAGACGGGTCACTCGCGTCATGTGTCTGTCAGGGTCCGTGGAAGAGCCGTGCCCACCACAGTTACCAGGGAGCCCAGGCTGGCAGGATGGGCACCACCTTCCATGTTGGTGGTTGCTATGCCAACGGGGGAGGAGTCAGCCTCTGCCAGGGAGCACAGGGAACAGCTGTACACCACTCAGGAACTTTGTATTGGGGTTCTCCAGAGCCACGGTACCGATGGGATCCCTTTCTCTCTGCCTCTCTGTCTACCTGGGTTTGCTGTTAAGGAATTGGTTCACATGACTGTGGGAGCCGGAAGTCCAACATCTGCGGGCTGCAGATGCAGCTGGGTTGACATGCCAAATCCCCCATCGCAACTATGAGTTTCTACTCTCGGCTCAGGGGCTGTAATTAGCTGCACGGCCCTACCCAAACACAAGTGGCCAGGAAGTGCCCTCTGCAGTGCCCTCTGAGTGGGACCAACAGTATTGCCTAAGCACCCAACACTAGTGCAATTGTAGATAATTTTATCTGGGACTGTTGCCTATGATTCAGGCATCTCATATAGGTGCTGGTTCAAGTCCTGGCTTGAATGCCACTTTTTTTTTTAATATCTATCTATCTATTTATTTGAAAGGCAGAGTTGCAGAGAAAGAGAGAGGTCTCCCATCCATTGGTTCACACACCAGATGGCTGCAACAGTTGGAGCTTCATCAGTCTGAAGCCAGGAGCCAAAAGTTTCCACTCGGTCTCCCATGTGGGTGCAGGGGCCCAAGGACTTGGGCCATCTGCTACTGCTTTCCCAGGCCATGGCAGAGAGCTGGATTGGAAGTGGAGCATTAGGGACTCGAACCAGTGCCTATATGGGATACCAGCACTGCAGGCGGCAGCTTTACCAGCTACTCCACAGCGCCGGCCCTGGCTGCACCATTTCTGATTCAGCTCCCTGCTAATGTACCTGGGAAAGCATCAGAAGATAGCCCAAGTGCATGGGCCCCTGCACCCACGTGGGAGACCCAGAAGAAGTTCCTGGTTTCAGTCTGGCCCAGCCCTGGCCATTTGGGGATTGGAAGATTTCTCTGTCTCTCCCTCTCTCTCTATAACTCTGACCTTCAAATGAATAAAATAAATCATACAAAGCAGTGCTCTAATTTAGTAAAATTGTATCTGAGGATGAAGGCAGTGATGGGTGGTATTCCTGGTCCGTGCACTCTGCTGAATTAATGCAGAGGTAGTCAGAATTGGACTCGTGTGAGCCATCTGTTCATGGGCGAGGTCAGGGAAGGAGCTGCGATATGACATACCTGGTCTCCAGGGTGCCTCCGTTCAACTACTGCTTCTGAACACCTGCCTTGGGTTTTTCTTTACTGCTTTCTTTATCGAGGGTTTTCTGTGGGTGGTGTTACATTTAAGGGTCGTTTGTGTGATCGAAGAGTGCCCTGCGAATTGGCCTTTGTGACTTCCTCGGGGTACAAATCCTTGAGGTTGCCTTTCTCCTGCTTGCATCAGACTTTCTGGAAAGAGCTCAGGAGCCAGCTGTCATTTTTGCCACCATCTCGTTCTGGGTTTCGGACACGTACGCTCCAGTGTTTTTCCCTGGCTGTCCTAGGGCTGGGGGTGGTTTGAGCAGTGTGATCGCTAAGCGGCTTCCACCTCTGACACTCTGTGTGCAGGCAGATGAGCGTCTGGCGGGGCCGTCTTCTCAGTGTGACCTCTCCCGGAGGAAGGGTTGGGGCAGAGCTCTGCGATTCTCTTAGAAGAGCATGGATCCCATTTGGGAGGGCTCCACCCTCGTGACCTAATCACCCCGCAAAGCCCCAACTCCTAACACCAGCACATCAAGTTGTGACCTTCTGAGGCAGCACAAACACTCACCCATTACAGGGGGCAAAGCTTGTGGGGATTTAGGGAAGACGCACGGGATTCAGTCTGTGGGAGAGGAGGACTCCACAGCAGCAGTGACGACAAACCTGAAAGATGCCACACCCACGGGAGGAGGGGGAGGAGGTCCTTTGCAGAAGGCACTGTGTGTGCAAGGTGTACAAGTGGCTGGGTGCCGGACAGGCTTGTGCAAGCTTTGGTATCTGGCCAGGCTGCTGGGAGGGACGGTGGAAGCTGCAGAGGGCATTGATGGTCAAACTATGAATTCCTATGGCGAATTTGGACTTGAATTTTTCAAGTACCTGGTTTTTAAATAGGTTTTATTTCAGTGTTGGCTAACAGAAAAAGCTATTGCTTTAATTTCACTTAAAACCTGTCTCTTGGTCTATAATAGGCAAACTTTAACTCAAATAGAGTTAATCACAGTGTTTCCCGCACTGTCCTGTTTTTCACTCTCTCTTAGAACTTCCACGTGGGATGCACACATCTTTCTTGCTCTGGTCTTGGTGGTTTGAAGTATTTGAGTGGCAGAGAGAAGTGCAATCTTTGTTATTTTTTTCCTCTTTATAAAGAATAAGTATTTTGGAACGTGGAAAAGATAGAAAGCTATAAAGATGGAAAGAAAGGGCGTACGTGATCTGCCCCTGAGAGACAAGGCTGATGCCGGCATTTGGGGAGCACTGTGAGGGCCAGACGGCTCGCTTTGAATGTTGCTGTATCTGAGCTGTGAACCTGACCTCGGCAGGTGCTCCAGCTCCAGCTGCAGACAGACGCAGCCAGGTTTCCCTGGACTCTCCGGAGGAAGCTTCATGTCTTAGCTCCATTAGAATCACTTTTGCTCAGTTCCTGACTTTTCCCCTCATGGCCTGTGTAGTTTTGGCAATTTACCCTCTCTAGGCCTCAGTTTGATTGTCTCTAAAATGGGAGTAACTACAAAAACAGTGATAATGGCCCCTTACGTTCTTGTGAGCGCTGGAGGAGTTTCTCCACTCGAAGCACTCGGGGAAGTGCCCAGTACAGAGTGAGTAATTACTTTTTGGATATCCGCTCTTGGTTATTGAGCTGCCCCCTGGAGGCCAGCCGTGCAATGGGAGAAGGCTCTTTGCCTCAGCGTCCTCGTTCTCTGGAGGGTGTGTGAGCTTGTTGGTCTTCAGGGTTAGGCTAGTGCAGGGCCAGGGGCCTGGAGCTTGGTCAGAGCTGTTCCTTGGGGAATGCTGGCCCAGGCTTCTCACGCCTTCCCTTCTCCCACTTCCGCCCCCTGGCTGGCCGGCTCGCAGGGCAGGCTGTCCCTTTAAGAAAGACAGTAGCACGCACAGCAGCTGCCCAGCCGGCCCTGCCTCCTCTGCTGAGCACAGAGCTGGGGCTGCAGCTGGAACCCTCCTGGGCTGCAGGAGCACCAGAGCCTCCAGAGAAGGGGTGCAGCTTGGGATCCAGTGCACACACCCCTCCACCCCGGGAACCCATGCCCACGGAAGGACCCCCTGTCCGCAGCCCTCCACTGCCGCCCTGGGCTGCCGCCACCCAGCTCTGGCTCTGGGACGTAAGAAGCTCATTCTTGAGGCCTGAGCTCAAGATCCCTAAAAAGAAAGTTGGAAAGTAGCAAATGAACTTGGTAAGTGAAAGAAACCTGCACTGCCTTCTCCAGGGACTGCGAAGGGCGGTATTTGGGTTGAGGTCTGGTATTGCCTTTTCACCGTCTTTCTTTGT